CAACTTGTAAAGATGGACTCACATGTTGTGACTGCAGTTTGTAGTGTCGTGGCAGATCAATTCCATTATGTTCATGTATTCATTCACCTAACTTGTCCTTAAAACATACAACTTTCTGTTCCAGTTCACACTGCATCCAGTGCATGGTTTGCTTATTCCTCTGTGTTGTATCACAAATGTCGGAGTGCTAATGTGTTGAAACAAACACATCTCTTCCAGCATGTTAATTGCTCTGCCTAAATATAAAATGACCATCCTTTTATATTTCCGCTTCTGTTATTGCCTGCAGTATTGTGCTATCCGCTTTTTATTAGGATTGCCAAAGTTTGAGCCCTAGCTTGAATATTATTCTCTTGTTCTACAATTACTCTGCCTGTTCGTGTCTGTTTCATATTTAATTACTGTAAAGCCCTCACCTGCTGAGCTCTAGACCTATGAGACCCAGGGATTGTGGGATATCTAGTTTCATAACAGGAAGTGTTGGTTCTCACACTACAGACAGAGGTCATGCATTAACCTGTGCAGTGCCATGCTGCATGCTTCATGTTTCTACACAAACAGTTGACACTAGAAGCTCAAGATTTACTGTACTATGCGTACAGAGCAACGAATGACACCATGAAACTACAGGATCAATGCACATCTTAAGCAGATGAAAAACACAGAGTGCAGGTAATGCCTTTAAGTGGGTTTTGCATGTTTTATTAATAGGAATACATTAATAGGAATACAAAACCCCCTTAAAGTAAACAAAAAGCTTTTGACACAGGCCCTTAAAAAATCTATATATACTGTCAGAGATTACACAAAGCTGCTTTTCCAACTGCCATTCATTATGTATTAGCAACTGATTTACACTTGTTGTTTTTTGTTGATTTTCATTTTACTTTTATCCATATCAATGTATATGTTAGTTGATCTTAAAGGAAAATTCACTTTTTGTAACATGTTACACCCATATTTAGGGCGGAACATGTTACAAATTCACAGCCCCCCCCCCCCCCAAATCCCCTGTTGTGACAGCTTGCAGGGGGATCTTCTCCCCCTTCTAGTTGTCACAATCTGAAAAAAATGCTGCCATGCAGAGCTCCACTACCAGTCAGAGTGTAATTGCCTGCCCGTATTGGAGGTACTGGCAGAAAGATACACAGACAGTCTGAAGGTCTGTGACATTACACGCAGTGCAGTGCTTTAAATGTCCCTAACAAGAAATATAATAAATGCATTTTTTTTATTTGCAAAAAATGTGCATTTATTATTTTTTTTGTAAAAGTGAACTTATCCTTTAACGTGTACCTGTCACCTGTATCAACACAATGGAACAACATTCAAAGCTGAAATGAGATATAATGCTACCTCTGTATACTACAGTTATAGGTAAATTCATAAGCCCTACCCATTGATACTAAGTGAAGCTGGGCAGCTCTTTTCCTATTATTACAGGTGCTTAAATAGCACCATCAATTTATGCAGTGCTTTACATATATATATATATATATATATATAAAGTATATATATATATATTGTACATTCAAATCAGTCCCTGCTCTCAAAGAGTGTACAATCTAAGGACCCTAACTCACATTCATACATACACATACTAGGGCCAATTTAGACAGGAGCCAATTAACCTACCAGCATGTCTTTTGAGTGTGGGAGGAAACTGAAGTACCCAGAGGAAACCCATGCAAGCACAGTGAAACATGCAAACTCCAGGCAGGTGGTGCCATGGTTGGGATTCAAACCAATCAACCTAGTGCTGCCAGGCAGAAGTGCTAACTATTTAGCCACTGTGCTGCCTGTAGGATATTCAGTGTGTCTGCCTGCTGAGTTTCTGTAGTTTTTGGGATAGCATAGGCATAATGTGAATAAATATGTATTTTAAGGCTATTACTTTTATAAATAAATACATTATTTTACTCCCCCCTGTTCCCTGATATCACCTTAGGCTCCGTGCACACTAGCATAGTTTTAAGCTCAAACACACTGGAAAAAATGCTGGGTAAAGCACTGGTAATGGCCTATATTAGTAGCTATTTAGGAGCGTTTATGAGCTTTAGTGTTTAATTAGTGTTTTTACAGTACATGTAGAAAAAAAAAAAAAGCTAGAAAAAAGCTGCTAATAGCGTTTTAGTAGCGTTTAGGAGTGTTTAGAAGTATTTGATGTTTTTTGTGCTGGAAAAAAATGCTCCAAAAAACTACAAAAACAATTTTTTTTCTACTCCTAGAAGCCAACGCTCAAAAAAATGCTAACAGCTTAAAGTAGTGTGTATGCACACATAAGATAATACTATTTAGCTTCTAGGAGCAGAAAAAATGCTATTAACCACTTCCTATCTGGCACATGTACATAAACGGCCAGATGGGAGCAGAGCCGGAGCGGGTGGCCATTTATAAACGGCCCCTGCATTCATTGCCTGTGAGAGCTCCCTGGGAGCGCGCAGCACCGCGATCTGGTACACCAATCACTGTATGGGACCTCTGTGTGAGGTCCCCATTCATGTGATCACTGATTGGCCAATCAGTGATCACATGAATAGTAGTAAGCAAGATGTCACTTCTGACATCATTGCTTACTACTTGTCAAATCTGTGAATGATCACAGAGGTCACATGGTACAAGGCTATTCATAACAGCCATGTGCCATGTGACAAGCTGTGACCAATCACAGCTCGCGCAGTATTTCTCAATGGCTGCAAGAATGCAGCCAGAGAAAAGGAGAAATTATTGCTTTTACAGCCTTTATGAGTGTAAAAGCAATCAGTGTAAAAAAATTAAAAAAAAAATCTTCATCACTCCCACAAGTAGTACAGTGTCACTATGGTGACACTGTATTGCTAGGGTGATGGTATGTTAAAAAAAATTTTTAAAAATATAAATAATAATATAAAAAAACTAAAATAAATATGTAAAAAAAATTTGGTTATATAAACTAATTTGGGTTATTGTTTTTTGCTAAAAAGATAGATGAATACATTTTGGCCAAGAATTATTTATTTGCAACATTTTATAAGAAAAACTTTTTTTTTCAAATTGTTTGGACTTTTTCATTTATATGGCAAAAAAAATAAAAATCCCAGTGGTGAATAAATACCACCAAAATATAGTTTTAATGTCTCAAAAAAAATGCTAAAAAATTCATATGAGGAGTACAGTGTTTCATGACTGCTCAATTGTCATTCAAAATGCTATAGCACTGAAAGCTGAAAATTGGCCTGGACAGGAAGGGGGTGAAAGTGTCCGGACTTGAAGTGGTTAACAGCTTCTAGGCGCTTGAAAAAACACTAGTGTGCAATACTTACCATTCTAATGAAGCCTCCACAGTTCCATTTCACTGAAGTTTACTCAACATTTCTGGACATGAACATAGGCAAAATATCATTTCTACTTCATTTTCACCTATTTAGACATGTGTCAGCAACAGTATCAAATGTTCAAACACTTTACATTTCCACCATACAATGAACAGGCAAAAATTCGCTAGTACTTGTAATTAACAGCAAAAGGACTTCAAAAACATAAAATACAGAAAACCAAATGAAAGTCTGCTTAGGTTACCTTAAATGGTCTCCTATTGGTTGCTATAAGTTATTTCCCAAAAATAATTTGGGGCTGTGTAATCTTCATTCTTAAAACCCTTTTCTGGAACCACAAAAATCCTACTCGATAAATAATAAACATTTATCCTTTGTTTAAATCTTTACTATGATCTATATTGTTGGCCCCCTACATATGTTGCATATTGCAAATTACAATGAATAACTAACTGTATGTGCTGCTGTGTAGGCTGTTTTGCTGCTATTCGGATAAGCAACATGGTGCACAGTGGCCTGCAGACAGTTTAATGAGACAGTCTTCATTTCACCTTAGGCAGTAGGAAATCCTATTAGATTTACAAGTGTCCATCTGTTAAAAAGTCCCCAGAGTTATTTCCACTGGCATTCTTCATTTGGATTTAAACCTACTTAGCACTGATTGTTCAATTTGCAGGCTCACTCCCAGCCGCATACTCAGCATTATATCTTCATGAGAAATGATCAGGAAGTGTCTTATCACAGCTTGCAGTTTACAGATCAGTATATATTCAGACTGAGATATATACACTTATTTTATTTTTTACAGGTTCTTATATAGAGCTGTCAATGTATGCAGTGCTTTACATATATATATTGTACATTCACATCAGTCCCTAACCCTCAAGGGGTGTACAATCTAAGGTCCCTAACCCACATGCATACATAGACATATTAGGGCCAATTTAGACAGGATCCAATTACCTACCAGCATGTCTTTGGAGTGTGGGAGGAAACTGGACTACCCAGAGGAAACCCACACAGGCACAGGGAGAACACTACTCCAGGCAGGTGGTGCTGTGGTTGGGATTTGAACCAATGACCCTAGTACTGCCAGGTGGAAGGGCTAACCATTTAGCCACTGTGCTGCCCACACTTTATCATTTTACCACTTTTCAAACATATGCAGATATGCTTATTTGTTGTTACAACATTACTAATCTAATAATTAATATTAAATACTTTAATGTTTCTATCTGACCTTTTTTTTTAACAAGGTGTTGGTAAACCATTTACTAAAGTGATCACAACAAGCTGATCGTTCTAATGGTTGGTTCCAGCACTACACAGTTACCTTTCCTTTGCAAGCCACTGCTCTGTGCAGCCCCTAGAAGCACTGAAGGAAGCCCTGTGCTAGCTCCAAGTCACTCTAGTTGGAGCATATACAGGGCCAGGGCGGACTAACCATTTGGAAACTCGGGCACTGCCCGAGGGCCCGGGGTCAGTAGGGAGCCCGATGAGATACCCCTGGTACCTTTTTCATAGGCTCTTTTTTGCGTTTGGACAAGGACACAGGGGCCCCATGATCCCCTATTGCCCTGGGGGCCCCTGTGAGTTGTAAGTCCGCCCTGTACAGTGGCTGAGGACTATTTCTCCATCATGTGTTATAGTGGTGGACCAATTTAAAAAGCATCTGTGCTGTTACATGTTCCTGCATATATTTTCTTTTCTCATAACCACTAAACTGAATTGTGTTTGGGGGAGGTGACATTGGAGCAAACCTGTTGCGTTTTGCCTACATGAGAAAAGCAACGTTTGCATTTAAAGTACAGGTGTACCTCAGTTTTTACTAATTTAATGTGCTCTCCGGGACGTTTCGTATTGCAAAAAACTAGTAAACCGAAACACGGTTTGTCATAGGAATGCATTGAAAACAAATTAATCCTTTTCGGAGGTCAGAAAAAAAAGTTTTTATAAAGTCGCTGTCACTATAGGTCAGTTTGCGGTTTTTAAATGTAATTACCGGCTTTTTTTTTTTCTGCACTATAGCTCAGAGAATCAGCTTTCACTTTCCCCCCCAGCTAAAAGAAAGAAAGTTTCCTTTTAGTTTATTTCCCCAAGTTAAAAGAAACAATGTTTCCTTTTTAGTTTGTTTCCCAAGATAAAAGAAACAAAGTATCCTTTAGCTCCAGGGAAAGTGACAGCTAATTCTGTGAGCTATAGTGAAGAAAAACAAAAAGCCGGCAGTTGCATTTAAAAATCGGCACCGACATACACTTCGTACTGCAAAACAAAATTTGTTAAAAAAATTCGTACATCGAGGCATTATTTTCAATGGATTTTCATTCATAAACCGAAAATTACGTTAACCGAGGCGTTTGTAAACCGAGGTACACCTGTATATGTAAACCCAACATTTCATATTCTTGATATGTGCTTGCTGTACCATGTAATTGTATGAAAAAGTATCCTGTTTGTCTTTGTGTGAAATCCCTGGTGTTCCTGCCAGTCCCTCTGATCTCCTGTTAATAACTGACCACACTAGGCAGAAGGGCACAGCATGGCCAGTTTTCTCATTGTGCTGGGGACTAATCCAATGATCAGGCTTGTGTTGATATGCCCCCCTCCCCTCCCCTTGCACAGCCATTCACTGGGAAGATCAGTGTGCTGCAGCTTTTCCTTCCCCAGCTCCTTATGCAGCTGAGAACAGAGGGTATGTCATCACTTATAACAAAAAAAAGGGGAAAAAAAGTACTTTCAGCTTTTGTGTATGTATACATAAGTGTTTTGCCGTTCATGTATATTTTAAACCAGATGGGTTTTTTTTTTACAAGGTAAGGGTTTACATATAATTTAAATAAGCATGTATTGTATATATATGTAATTTTTTTTTTATGTAAGATATTTTGTGCTATACTTTGTCAAAGGCTCTGGGACCAAAAAGTGCACAATCACCATAAATGTAAGCAAGATATTGTATACTATATAGTACATGAACAAGTCCAGGAATGATATTTTGGACAATTCTGGGTTGCCACAAGGAAGTTTGTTTTGTAAGTATTAGGGGAACTGTGTAGAGCACATGTAGATCGTTCAGCTTCAGTCACTCCTCAAGGGATTTTAAAATGTTTAAATATTATAAATGACAATTACATAAAATGAAATGTACTACATTTAAAACACGGAAAAGTAATTCCTACCTAAGACAAGACACAATCAGATGCTGGTGATTTCTATATTTATATACTGTGTATATATATATATATATATATATATATACAGGGGCTTATTTACCACAAGGCAAACAAGACATTTGCCGAGGGCGGCATTTTTCAGGGGGGGCAGCACCCCCCACCCCCAGGAAGAAGGGACATATGCAGCATGGGAACCAGGTGGGATCTGAAAGAGGCTGCGGGCTGCTTGATGGTGTATGCAGAGCCCGACTCTCATTCCCGGGGATGTCCAGAGCTGGGAAAAGTGAGTGTCTTTCTTGTCTTTCTCTCTGTTGCTGGGGGGGGGGGTGTTAGTGGAAGGCTCCCTGGGGAGGGGGGGGGGGGCAGGGGTGTTGTTGGTGGTCACTGTCAAGCTCTTTTGGGGGGGTTAGTGGTTTGGTGTTGGTCGGTGTCCGCAATGGAGGGTCGTCTGATCTTTGTGTTGCTAGGGCAAGCAAAAAACCTAAATACACCACTGTATATATATATATATATATATATATATATACACAGTTGCAAGAAAAAGTATGTGAACCCCTTGGGATTACGTGGAGTTTTGCATGAATTGGGCATAAAATGTGCTCTGAACGTCATCTAAATCACAACAATAGAAAGAACAGTCTGCTGAACATTAATACTACACAAACATTAGATGTTGCCATGGTTTAATTGCACATAACATGTAAACATTCACAGTGCAGGGAGGGGAAGGTATGTGAACCTCAACTAAACGTTTCCTGTAGTTGCAGATCAGACCTGCACAACAATCTGGAGTAATTTTGGACCACTCCTCTTCACAAAAACTGTTTCAAGTGTAGCAATATTCTTGGGATGTCTGGTGTGAATCGCTCTCTTAAGGTCATGCCACAGCATTTCAATCGGGGTTGAGGTCAGGACTCTGACTGGGCCACTCCAGAAGGCGTATTCTGTGCTGTTGCAGCCATTGTTTTGTTGAATTACTTGTATGCTTTGGGTCATTGTCCTGTTGCATCACCCATCCTCTGCAGAGCTTCAGTTGGCGGACAGATGGTCGTACGTTTTCCTGCAAAATATCTTGATAAACTCTGGAATTCATTTTCCCATCAATGACAACAATCCGTCCAGGCCCTGAGGCAGCAAAGCAGCCCCAAACCATGATGCTCCCTCCGCCATGTTCTACAGTGGGGATGAGGTTTTTGATGTTGGTGTGCTGTGCCTTTTTTTTCTCCACAACATAGTGTTGTGTGTTCTTCCCCCAAACAACTCAATCTTGGTTTCATCTGTCCACAGTATATTTTGCCAGTAGTGCTGTGGAACATCCAGGTGCTCTTTTGCAAACTTCAAACGCGCTGCAATATTCTTTTTGGACAGCAATGGCTTCCTCCGTGGTGTCCTCCCATGTACTCCATTCTTGTTTAATGTTTTCCTTATTGTAGATGTGTCAAACAAAAATGTTAGCATGTGCCAGAGATTTCTGTAGGTCTTTAGCTGACACTCTGGGATTCTTCTTTACCTCATGCAGCATTCTGCGCTGTGCTCTTGCAGTCATTTTTACAGGATGACCACGCCTAGGGAGAGTAGCAACAGTGCTAAACTTTCTCCATTTGTAGACAGTCTGTCAATTTTTACTGTGGACACATGAAACATCAAGGCTTTTGGAGATACTTTTGTATCTCTGGGAGAAGTCATTAAGCTAGGGCCTCACATACTTTTTCCTCCCTGCACTGTGAATGTTTACATGTTATGTGCCAATTAAACCATGGCAACATCTAATGTTTGTGTAGTATTAATGTTCAGCAGACTGTGTTCTTCTATTGTTGTGACTTAGATGACGTTCAGAGCACATTTTTATGCCCAATTCATGCAAAACTCCACGTAATCCCAAGGGATTCACATACTTTTTCTTGCAACTGTATATATATTTATATATATATATTTTAATACATGAAAGCTCCTGTGCCCTCTAGTCTCACTTTCTTGACTTTGCTTGACTTCATGTCTAAGCTCTACCTACAGCAAACCTCCTGTTCAATAAGGGTGCTCTTAGTGACCACCACTGCAGACTCACCGATTACAGAGGATGTCAGCTGGCAGGGCCTAGCCATGAAGTAAGGACATGTCTGTTTCCAGTAAAAATGTGAAACTAAATCGGAAAAAGGCAAAGGTTTGGCTTCTCCGGCTTAAAGGATAATGCAGGCCATAGATGGGTCGTTTATCAGCCGAATTTTCATCCGCACGAAAAATCGGCCGATAATCACGCCGTTAGTGGGGCCAGCCTGTCGGCCATTTTTCGTGGATCTCCTCATTTATTTTTATCGGTCATGCTGGAAAATCCGCCAAAAACAGCTGTTTTTTGTGGACATGGGTGGCAGCATCGGCAACAGGCCGACCGATTTTTCGTTTATCGGCCGGCCCGTCTATGGCCTGCGTAATGCAGGCCATAGACGGGTCGAAAACCGTCCGTTTTTAAAAAAAACGGTTGTTCAATAGGCCCACATTACCACCAACGGTAAAAAAAATCGGCCGATTTTCGTCCCGTCTACGGCCGGCATTTAATTACTTCTGTCCCTGCAGAGAGCTCCGCTATTATATTTGACATGAAAAAGTATTGCGGTTGCAACAATGTATCTATTTGTATCATTTCAGATACAGATGTTTTTTATTCGGACACAAATAGATACATTGTTGCAAACCGCAATACTTTTTCATGTCAAATATAATAGCGGACTGGAATTTTTCTTTTTTTTCTTTTTTCTTCTTCTTTCTTCTTCTTCTTCTTGCAGGTCACGGCTCATGAGCAGATTTTTCATCGGTAAAACGATCGGCCCGATTTGCCCATCATTGCAGGGAAAATCAGCCGATCGGCAAAATCGGTCCCGATTTTTTTTCCAACTTTACCGATTAAAAAAAAAGTGACAAAACCCCAAAAAACGGCCGACCAATTAACCCGTTAATGGTGCGAAAATTGGCCGATTTTTCGACCCGTCTATGGCCTGCATAAGTTCACGTCTGGAACATATTGCATGTTCCACCCGGTTTTATTGTGGAACATGTGACATTTTCCAGCATCTGTACCTTTTCCCCTGACCACTCCCTCCCTCCCTCGGTGTGATAGCGGGCAGGGGGATCCTCTCCCTGCACCCGCTTTGTCACAATTTGAAAACAGTGTGACTGTTTGGGGCGTCATTCATTCACATCTTCCTGTGAATTAGTAGCCTACAAGTACCGTTAGCCTTTGCAGGTGACAGCTTGTATTTCAATTACCTACAAGGGCATTGGTGAGCGCTCCAGTAGTTCATTATTCTTCCTGCTCTCAAGTAGCTGCCTGCTCATATCTGAGGTACTGGCACACTGATAAGGAAGAAAAAAGTGCCTCTAAGTGCAGTATGTAACAACATTTATTGGGAAGCAATGTAAAAGCACTCACATTGTGTAAAAAATAAGAAAGGTCAAGTAAGTGGAGTAATTATTATTATACAGGATTTATATAGCGCCAACAGTTTGCTCAGCGCTTTACAATATAAAGGGAGACAATACAGCAGCAATACAGTTCAGTACAAAAGGGATAGGAGGGCCC